GTCTGTGCAGGCATTTTTCACAAGACCCAATGGAGACAGAAGTGAGTAAATATGGAAGAGAGCATGACTAATCCTGGTGAGAGTTTCTACTGGTATCTGAGTGATAGCTGGTGTTACTACTGTTCAAATCCAAGGTTTCACAGCAACATCGGGGCAACCAACTTTGGCTAAGGCCTAAAGTATCTGATGGAATGTCTCAGAAGCATGGAAATTGAAAAACTCTCTTACCCTGACTTGGCAGGGTTCAGCAGTATTCTTTATGTTTATTTCCTGCAAACCCAGTTAGGACACAGCATGTCCAAGGTCAGTGTTGGAGGTGGGGGCAGGTCTTTGCCCAAGAAACCAGTAGCTGAGGAGAGAATGATCTCCAGATGGAGTGTCATCAGAGGCCAACATACTCTCAGGAGTAGCTTGGTGCTCTCAGGAGCATTTGTGTCTCATGTCAATGGAGTTCTAATATTAAAACATTTAAATGCCACATTCTGCAGATCTTTGAAGTGTTTGAGGATCAAATATCTATGTCTAACTAACCTCACAGGTATAAAAAGCACGGTTAACTACAACCTGTAATTCTCAGAAATACAGTTTCTCAATGGCTGAAGCTTTCCAACATAATTTAGAAAAGATAATGACTTCAAAAAATGTATAAATGACAGAGATAGAACGGAGATGTTTTGACTAGAGGTAGAACTGTAAAGTGCAATATGATAAAATATCCTCAGTTGTATCAATATACAAAATATATACAAAAAGATAGTTTTGTATTTGTGTGCAGAATATTTTAACAGAAAAACATTACTTTGTCAACATACAACCATCTAACAATTTATCTATAGCTAATAGTTGCTAAAATTAGTTAATCTACATATATCCCATCCTAACAATATTTTCCCATCCATACCCTAAACTTCTATAAGTGATACCAAAATCTAACCATCACTTTCCATGTCGAACTATACAACTTAAAACCAACTCTAAGCAGGTGATAATTATCCCTTTTTCAGCAATGAGAAGAAAATAAATACCATATGCAAACTGTAGGGAAATTGAGCATTATCTCCCTTACAGCTATTTCCTGCTGAAATGGGGAGACAGTGACTCTATGGGATTCTGTAGGAAAAAAAAATAAGGCAACAGAAAATCTTGAAAGGACTATCTGTAACATTTGTAGCTAGTCTCTGCATTGCAGGAGATGCTTAACTGAAATTCTTATCTGAAGCTCTGACCAGAGTGGTATAAGAAGATGCAGCATTTCAGCTATCTACTCTGGAATTGTTTATAGCAGTATTAGTCCTAACCCAGTCTTAGAGTGGTGTTTATTATTTCAGAGACAAAAAGTTATTCAAGTAGAATCAATGAAGTGAGGCCCCATCTTCTTTTGGGGACTTCAATGATTACTTTTAGGGAATGTTATTGTTCATTGTGGAAGAGTATACACTAATATTAAAACAGAAAGTTAACTATTTTAGGTATGCATACAACGAAAGGCAATAATAAGGATGAAAATAAGCATAAGGGAAATTAGGATTTTAGAGAGATTAGAATTTTGATAAATTATAGTTTCTATATTTTGTTTCCTTCTGTATTTCACTAATTGGCTTCTTGATATAAGATAAAACTCTGATTTTTGCTTCATGTAAACTGCATTCTTCCTGCCAGCTTGGTCCCAAAGCTGTGTTAGTCCAAAATGAACATGCAGAACATTATGAAGCTGTTGGCCATTTGCTATGGTTTCTTAATGACTATCTCTGCCTTAATTATTAACCCATAACTACTACTCTATATTTTTATAAGGTCTTATCTTACCGAGAATGCCAGACTTGCACCCTCTCCTTCCCAGATCACATGGCAACTCTACTTTTGACTACATTTCCCAGAATCCTCTTTGACTCTTAGTCCCACCTATGTTGCTTCCCTATTGGCCAAGAGTTCTCTATTTATCAAACACTAAGACAACATATACACAGAACTTCCCCTCTCAACTTAACAACAGGTTTGAATTTAGAGAAGGAAAGCCAAATCCAGCTCCAAAGCCAGCATTGGTTTTACATGAATTGGGACTAGTAGAGTACTAGGAAGTAAGAAGATGACTCTTTGTAGAAAGCTACCAACAAGAGTAGATATTGGTACCATAAGTAAGATTCTTCTTTGTTTGATAGCTCTTTCTGGATAGCTAACATTTCTTCTTTAGGCATATATACGTCCAATGACTTTGGTCTCTTGAAGCTGGATGTTTTCAGTTTGCCTGTAATGAAAAGAACAGAAAACTCCCTCTATCTTTGTGAGGTCTCCATACAACTCTTGGGGTACATCTTGTGGATGACCTATCTTGTCTCTTCATCAAGAGGTTTCTCCTGTTCAAATGGGAACTTGATCAATTTTGATGGCATCCAAATTTTTCTACTCCTTTAGAAACAAAGGTGAAGCAGGTCAGGATGGCCAAGCAGTCTAAGTTGCTGCATTCAGAACCAAAGGCTAAACCTCCATCCAATGTAAGACATATCCTGGTTTCCATACTGAGGTCAATACATCCTTGAAGTACACGGGCTGATTTAGCTTAGAAGATTTTTTCTATTGTTCAATGTCTTTCAATGACTGTTTTGCCTTTTTCATTAGCATGAAGAAAGTTTAAGGTTAGTAAAGCATTATGTAATCTACTTTGGGGGTCTTGTTTCCCCTCTGCCAGTTTGTAGAGCATTTCCTTAAAGTGTGATTAGATCTCTCAACAACCGCTTGTCTTGTAGGATTATGTGGTATACTAGTTGTAAGGTTTATGTCATAAGATTTAAAAAAACTGTTCCAATTTGTTGCAGACATATGCTGGAGCATTGTCAGTTTTTATTTGTGCAGGTATATGTAAAGAGAAGACTTTTCCTTGCCAGCGGCTTGGTTCCTCCCCCAACCCCTGCCAGTCGCCTGGGCTCTGCCACGTTGTAGTCCCCAAATAACACACAAGACACTGTATTAATTATGAAGCTGTTGGCCTTGCTTGTTTCTTAGTGGCTAGCTCTGACTTAAGTATTTATCCCATAATTGTCAATCTAAGTATTTCTCTTACCGGAGCAAAGTTCCGGACATCTTATTTCTCTGATGGGCAACATCGTGACTCCCTGTGTTTTTCCTACCCAGAGTCCTCCTGGACCCCTAGTCCCACCTATCTTGCTTCCCTATGGCCAACAGTGCTTTATTAACATATACACAGTACTTCCCTCATCAGGTATACCCATAATAGCCATTACCTCTGATAGGTAAAACTTCCTTTATTTCCTCAAACATTTTTTAACATCTCTGCCTTAGATTCAGATAACAATATATCATCCATATAGTGGTAAATTATACATTGCAGTAACTATTAAGATATTATTTCCAATGTTTTTTGCACAAAATACTGGCACAGGACGAGTTGTTTATCATTCCCTGTGGCAAGCCCTTAATTTAATATATCTTTGCTGGCTAAGAATTATTGTAATTAGGTACTGTGAAGACAAATTTTTCCTTATCCCTTTCTTGTAAAGGTATAGTGAAGAAACAATCTTTTAAATCAATAACTATAATAGGCCATTCTTTAGGTATCAGAGAAGCTAAGAGCATTCCAGGCTGTAGAGAACCCATCAGTTGAATTACTTTGTGGATGGCTCTCAGGTCTGTAAGCATTCTCCATCTTCCAGATTTCTTTTTAATTGCAAATACAGGAGAATTTAAAGGGCTGGTAGATTCTTTTTTTTTTTCTTTTTTTTTCTTTTTTTTTATTTTAAATAGCTTGTTTTACATGTCAATCCCAGTTCCCTCTCCCTCCCCTCCTCCCGCATTCCCCTTCCACCCTCCCTCCCACCCTATTGCCAAATCCTTCCACATAGGGGATGTCTAGAGTCTATCATTTTACTCTTGGTAGGGTCAAGGCACTCCCCTAAGAGTCCAGGCTGAGAGAGCATCTCTCTTTGTGCTATAGGCACATGAAGACAGATTGTATACCAGGGATAGACACTGATCCACAGCTCAGAGCCCCATAGGTTGTCCAGGCCTTCTCACTGACACTCACATTTGGGGGGGTCCAGATCAGTCCCATTCTGGCCTCCCCACTGTCGGTCTGGGGTCCAAGAGCACTCCCCTGTTCAGATCAGCTGTCTCTGCTGGTTTTGCCAGCCCATTCTTTGCCAATTTGCTCATCATTCCTCTCTCTCTGTCACTGGGTTCCTTGGGTTCAGTTCAGTGCTTAGTTGTGTGTTTGCCTCTGCTTCAATCAGTCCCAGGATGAAGGCTCCCGGATAGTTATAGACATCGATTCTTAGATATGCCTAGCATTTAGCTGTTCCTGAACCAGCTTTTCTAGAGTCTCTAGCTTCTCAGAGGTCATAGGCCATTGCCCACCCAGATAGGCTTATCAGTTAGCCCCTTTAATGGTAGGGATTTTGATTCCTCTGTTAGTTTGGTACTTGCATTCTGTTTTTGTACAGACTGGATAGTTGGTGTCTGTTTTCTATAGCTCCCTCCAATATTTTTAGTTGATGGTTTTTCAGTGACCATAATGGGCTAAACCATAGGGGATGACATAACGACCTTAGGTAGGTCATCGCTGACTCTAAAAGACACTGGTAATGTTAAATAACTTTCATTCTCTATGATTTGTACCTCTGCTTCTGGTGTATCTGCCTAGAGGTGTTCTGGGCCTGTTATCTATTTGCCATTGTTTCTTCGAGTGCTTGAATCTTCTAGACAGTATAAATTTCTAGGGACTTCATTGTTTCAGTCAATTTCTTGTTCTCTTAATTTATATATGATTCTAAAGATTTAATATTCTCATTCTTAGAGCTTATCTGAATGGCATGTAAATAGTCTTCTAAAAACAATGTTGTATCTGTTAGCTTGTCATTAGTCTCAGACATGGAAAAGTATATTTGCTGTTAGTATTTCAATCTTATGTTCCACATTGCGCATTCTGTTTGTTAAATCACCATTACTGTTTTCAATGTTCTGAATTCTTTCTTCTAAGCTCTCATTATCAGTCTGTAAAGTTTGTATGCTTTCTGTAAGTTCCTTATTCTTAGTTCTACTGTCTGGCCATTTATTTAAGGATATTGTATGGATTATGAAGCTAATATATTATCCAGGTAGGTTATAATCCTCTTTTAAAATCCATATAAGAAACCAAGAAGTTTTTCACTTCCTGTTTTGTAATATTATCTACCATTGCTAAGGGGAGTCAGTTTATCTTAAGTAGATTTCTAAAACATGGAGATTTGGGTCATTATTGACTCACAGGAAACCTTGTATGCAGGCAGGCAAATTGAGCAGAAGAAAAACTATTATGACTCAAAGCTTTGTGCTACTTTCCACAGTTGTGTGCCTGCAAATCCAAGGCACTCAAAAGGCACAGCAAAGTACTGGCTTTTCCCTGGACAGGCCACAGAAACTGTGCTTCCAGCCCAGCAGCCAGAGCAAAATCCAAGAACCACGGGCTGTACAGCCAGTCATGAGGCAGGTGCAGGGACCTACCCAAGTAAACATTGGGTGCCAATTGAAGGCAATGATGTAATTATATCACTGACCCAAGATAAATGATAAATGGCGTTTATTGGGGACAATACACAGAAAAATACAAAGAACCACCAGAGCATTTCCCTGTTCTTCCTCCTGGATCTGCCACAAAGGGGTGTGGTTGCAGTTTCAGGTCCACAGAGCAGATGCCTACATGTATCTGTTTCATGAAGAGCACTGAAGGGGCTAGACAGATGGCTCTCTGGTAAAGAAGTATACTGGTCTTCCAGAGGATGCAGGTTCAGTTCCCAGCACCTATGTGACAGTTCACATCCATCTGTAACTCCAGTCCCTCCTTCTAATTCCCATGCATGTGGTACAACAAGCATGCATGAATGCTCAATACTCATTTGCGTGAAAATCAAAAAAGAAGAATACTGAAAATAAGTTGAAGGGTATTTCAAAGAAAGTTTAGCTGGCATTTAGCCACAACTCAACAGGTTGTTGGAGACATCTCATGAACAGCACTGATAGACTAACTTAGTCATATACCTGCAAATGCTTTTTATGAACTAGTAATATTAGGGTGTAGAATGGCTCTTTATTTTATATCTAAGAAGATTAGACTTCATTTTATTTTAAATATCAATAATCATTTTTAACAACTATAGCAGGATGCTGCAAGTCAAACAGAGTTATAAAAGTGGTATGCCATTTCTGGCATTATAATTTCCATCGCCATTGTGTATGAAGAAATAGGAGAGTACACAAAGGAATGCTTAGCTAATAAATGAAAGCACATATTTCCTAGTCTTTGATATTATCAATTAAGAATGAAAGCTATAAGGAATATATTTGCTTTATAAGTTTAGGATTACACATATAAATATACAAGTTCCTTTCTGACTTCATCTACCTGTTGAAAAATTCACATGATGGGTTTTACTTTACTGATATCAAAGAGATGATTTGTACTTAACAGATAAAGGAAAGATAAGGAAAAATCTTAAACTTTCATTAGAGCTATACTTTTCTCTCATCAGAGAACCTCACAAACTCCCCTGTTGGGTCAGCATTGCCAGATAGTTAATTTCTCTGCTCAAACAGAATGTACAGACTTGCTGACATTACAATATCCTGTGTTTCAAGATCCTCAAGGATATTAATAAAATTCTCTTTCTTATGGGAACTTCAATTTTTCCCCTGGAAAGATAACAAATCGGTATTTGTTATCTCAAAATATTAAGGTAATTAGTGCTGGGTGAACTAAAAAGCCAAGTGCAGCATTTCCAGTGGTCCAGATACACACTCAACTTGGAGGATGCTTACTTAAACTTTTTTCAGCACTAAGGAAATTCTGATGTTTGCTGAATTGAAGTTGCAAGTCTGGGGAAAAGGGTTGTCTTGCAAGACTTCTTGAGCTTCATGTTACTTGGTTGTATTGAAAATACAATGGGCATGACCATTTTGTGCTTTCTTTGAACTTGGAGTTTCCTTAATATGAGTTGAAAGATATTGCAAGTACAGAGACCTTAAAAGGCACAGCCAAAGTTTCAAAATATTTATAAAATGTCTTTAGAGGATTCTTTTTGATATCCTTGCATGGCATTACTTGATCTTTGTTTTAAAGAAATAATCCTACCATTCATTAATATTTTCAAAGGAAGAAACCCCCATGGAATCCAAAATAATTAGTCCTAGGACTGCACAAGCTCAGAGAGTTCCAGGGCATGGTGGGCAATAGGCCTGGTATCTGTGGTGGTCGTTTAAGTGGATTGTTCAGTATCATTTTACATCCCCTTATTCTGAGTTATGCTGGTTCCTGTTTGCCTGGTCCTGACAAGATCTGAGCTATTGATAGTTTAAGGGGAGACTGACTTTGAAAATTATCTTTCTGATGTGCACAAAACAATCACACCAGGCACGAGCCAGCTCCTTGTGCATTCTGCTTCAGTGGTCTTAAGTCCATTTCTGAAACTCAGCCAGCTTCCACTGGTGTACTGTACAATGCTGTCAAGTCATCAGCTCAGTCAACAAGTTCGTGTGTGTGTGTGTGTGTGTGTGTGTGTGTGTGTGTGTGTGTGTGTGTGAATACATATGGTTCTTATAAACAACTCTCTGTGAAAAGACCATAGCATTATTTATTAAGTAATTGATAACAAAGTTTCAAGGGAACAGAAAATATGTTTTCTTCAATGATATGTAAGAAATGGTTAAAAACCAGCTTGGATGTGTGGAGAGGGGAGAAAAGCATTTGTGGATGGTTTTCTAAATTGAACATATGGTCTGAGCAGACATTTACAACAATGTCAGATCACATCCCGGTGTGTTCATTTCTGCAACACGATTCAAGAGCATCTGATTTTTAATGAATGGACTTTCTTCAAAAGCTTGACTGGGAAAGGTCTGCGGTTGCAAATCTGGTGATGTCCTTTGGGATTTTAAGTCCCTCTTTGATAATATTTTCACAGACTTTGGGTTTTATTTTGTATTTTCCTTCTTATTGCGTTTGAAGTAGAAAAAAGTATGAAAGGAAAGTTTAACAGGAAAAGTAATTTTTTTTTGCATTAGCTGGGGGATAGCTGTTCCCATCCAGGTGTAGGCAAGAGGTCAGACAGCACGGTCTTGGTGGGAGTTGTCCTGGAAGGTAGCAGTAGCTTTGGGTGGAGGATGGGAAATCAGAAAGGCTACAGGACTGGACTGAACTCCGGGATGAACATCATTAAATGGTGATGGGCAATGCCAGACGCTCCTTACCCCTTACTGAAACACTCCACATCTGAAATACCCAAACTTTATTTCTAGGCAGCAACAACAATAGCAATCTTGGCATGGTGGTGGACTGCCGTGAATTTGAGGCTGGCCTGGCCTAAACCAACATTAAGATCTAACTAATTAAGATCCTATATAAAAAATACCTAAAAAATAAATGCATAAATTTCAAAGTCGATATTTTTCCATAGGGAAGACAAAGCAAACGTTAAAAATATTTTATTAAAATCTAATTTTAGAAAACAAAAAAAATGCTTTCTAGAATGATGGAAAGTTTTGATGTATAAAATGCTTTTCATGCTGCCATACGGGCCTGGGTTTGAATCTCCACAAGCCGTGAAATACCTGCTGTGGGGGCGTTTTTCAGAAGTTCAACTGCTTTTACAAGGACATGGGCAATGTGAAGAGAAGTATCCCGTGAAGTTTGCAGGCCTGCTAGCTCAGGTATGAAGTAACAGTCAACAAATAGGTAATGGCATGGACAAGGTAGAAATGGATGGTTAATTTACAAGCTGTCCTTTTATTTTCCAATATGCTTGTAAGCACCCATGTGTGTGAGCCCATATCCTCTTCTCTCTCTCTCTCTCTCTCTCTCTCTCTCTCTCTCTCTCTCTCTCTCTCTCTCTTCAATTTTCTGAAACTCAGTATGTTTTATTTAAAGGTTATTAATTTTTGAATACTATCTTAATGTATTCTTTTAAGCACACATCTAGAACAATGAGTAAAATGAAATTAAGCAGTGGTAAAATCTTTATGTGAGTTCCCATAATGAGACAGGACACAAATATTAAATGACATATAAGAGAGGGCAAAATGCCTGAAACGGTGTTAAACCAGGAGTGTGTATGTGTGAAATATTTATTTAACCAATTTCATACACGAACAACCAAATGAGAAGATGGCAATAAATGGGATGGTGGGCTTGTCTGTTATTTTTTAGCACTAGCATAGAAATAAGTTTGAAATATGAGTTAGGCCGTGCTATGCTGTCTAAATATGGAGAAGTAGCAGATTTTATTGGCCTTTTTAAGACCGCTAAGTGGGGAAGAAAATCCATTACTATTTTCAATTAGTATAGATAATACACTTATTCTAGCAGGGACTCAGTTAATTGCTTTACATGGATTATTTAATTGTATTTTCATTAATATACCATTTTAGATTTAAGAAGAATACAGAGAAGGTTAGAGTCAATAAGCAATTTGTTTAAAGTCAGTAGCTAGTTAAATGGTAAAACAAGAACTTTACTCCACTACACTTCCCCACATCAAAGCTTTCCAGGAGATGACAAAAGTAGAATGGAGTAGTATGTCAAGTCTCTTTGATCTCTAGGGGGCACAAGAAATAGAAATTCGTGATTTCAAGGCTTTGGAACAGCAGAAGAATACTTCAGTGGTCCAACAGTGCATCCAGTAGAGATTGTTTGATATGGAGTAAGCAAAGACACAGAGAAGGATGAAGACAACCACAGCCTGATCTGCATGGCATCAGCAAAGTGTTAAAGACTTAATCATAGATAGAACAACATGGGCATCAACAAACAGGAAAAAAATTACCAAATAAACCAGCCTGATCTCAGAGCTCAGCTGTATCTCTTGAAGAGGAAATATTTGACAATGTTTAACACAGTGTTGCTCATTATTTTCCGGAACTGATGTATCTAAAGATGGGGTTGGGTAACATAGACTAGAACTAAAAAGACTGATCCCTTGGAGTTGTCCTTTTTTTTTTTTAATCACACAGTATTTTAAATCGTTCTCTTTTTTCTCTCTGTACTCTAAGTTCTGAGGAGGACTGTTCTACAAATGGGTTGTTTAGCATATAAAAAAGCAATTGCTCAAGTTATGCTTCCTTTTTTAATTTAAAATCAGTATGTTTATTTATTCATTTTACTGAAAATTCCATACATTATACCTATTTTGATCACATCCACATTCCAGATCCTTATGCCAATTCTTCCTCTATTTCTACCAACACTGTTCTCCTCCATTTTTACCCATACATTTTTAAAAATATCACAGTGTGGGCTACATGCATATTCGTGCTGCTCTATTTATAGGAACATCAGTAGACTTTCAGAGATTTCGTCCTTGAAGAAAACGAATTTTCCTTGTAGCTGAAAATTTCATCTTTGTCACATGGGCTGGAATGATGGACATTATAAAATTGAACATGTCTTCAGTTAGTAACATAGGAAGTTTCATAAATATAATGGAAGCAATGAGAAAATGATAACAATAACTGTTAACAAGGTTTTATTTAGAAGACTGTAATATTCTCAGCCCTTTTGATTGTTTATTTGTTGAATTGAATACAAGCTCATTTTTCCAGAGGTGAATCCCCTACCCAGAAAGTAAGAAAAGTCAGCTGCTCTTTCCAATATTGCATAAATGCATAGTAATACTTTGTATATGTGCTTAAATTTTAACAATATAATCAAAATAAAAATACTCAACCATTTTACGAGTCCATTTAAACAAATTTGTCCAGTTTAAATCAAACAGTATTTTTAAATGTTTTGTATATATGATAAAAATATAATATATAAGTTGCATTGGGAGAAAAATAATGATGTAGATACTGATATACATCCCATCTGTCCTAAGAAGCATAGCTACTAGCTAAGATTAAATTTCCTTGCCTAAAGATCTTCATACCCTGTTTAGAGTGGCAGGCTCTATTTCATATGTCATCAGTTTCCAGTATATTAATTAAAAACCATGTAGAAAATTGGAGAAATTGTACTTAACAACTAAATAAGCATTTAAGTTAATCTATTAATACCTCAGATTGTATCAGTCGTAGGAATTAATATGAAACAAGTCTAAATGACACAGTGAAGGATGACTAGTACATTCACCAAATGTTCTATGATATGTTTCAGTCTTCAAACACTCAAACATGCATTATACTACTGGAGAAACAGCTCTGACTGAGTAGAGAAAAAGAAAACAAGTGTGACTTAATATTTTTGACTATATTTGTGTTATGTTTGATTAAACTGGACCATTGATTGTTTATGTTTTATTTTCCCACTTGGGAAGGATTTGAAGCATGAGGAGTTAAAAGATGTCACTCAAGGATTATCTCCCAAATGTAGCCAGCCTGTTAAACATCACCCTTTAGATCAGGTAATCTTCTTTTCCTCTTTTCTGCAAAATAATAATAAATAAATAAAGCAAATGTTTCAGAGATAATCCCTGATTCTTGCTAAGGCAGTTTAATTTAAAACCATAAGATGGTATAGATAATTTCATAAAATGTTTTATGAAGACTGATTTTAAAATGGTTCATTTTCTATGAAAATGTTTATGGATTTTTAATAGATGGTCTCTGGTGAGTCATTTTTCCTGAGTCTATTACTTTTTATGCTTTCTGGCAGTAAGCTGTCATTTTCATTCAGTGTGAATTTTTGAAGAAGTAATAACCAAAGCTGACACCTCCGGAAACTTACCCACTTGTTACAATTAAGCTGATTGTCAGCCCATATTGTTCATGTGGCAAGAGAACTCGTTAGTTAATGGCGAGTAGTATTTGATCCTGCCTACACAGATGTAGCTTTCTTGCAACATGCATCATTCCCATACATTTCTCTTGTTTTTGGTTTTTTTTCCACAGTCTTCTTAATCTTTTCTGGGAAAGTATCTCATAAACAATACAGTTTATAATACTAATAGTACTAATAGTACAGTACTAATCAAAGTAAATGTCAAAATTTGAGGCAGGAACAAGTAATAAGAATCATAAGTGTGTCCAGTCCACCATTTGAATCCTTATCAGAGTCATGTAAATAATAAGTAGGGTCATGGCTCCCCCTTTTCAGATTATAGACTAGCTTGATTAATTCTATGTGTTTTTTTGGTCTCCTTCATTAGTATCTCATTGAATCATTATTTCTTTTCACCTATTATTTTTGTTTTGAATTGCTTCCTAGCACTTCAAGATGAATCATTAGATGATCTATTTGAGATTTTTCTGGTTTTTAATGTGGGCATCTCTAGTTCTTAGTTGTTCTAGAACTCTTGAAACTGTATGCCCAAGGTCTGCTAAATTTGGCTGTCATTCCCCTGAATTCTAGACTTCTGTTTTCATTTTCTCTGATTAATTCTTTATCTAACATTCATTCAAAGTATGTTCTCTGTTTTTTAAAGGTATTTGTGCAGATTTTGTGGTTCACTTATTATTGTTTTCTGATATAAACTGTTAAAATACAATGAATTTCATTTTTTTATTTTTTAAAACTTTCTTTGTCTTTTGATGTGATTGGTTTGAAAGAAGGGCCTATGTGATGGTGAGAGAAGAATGTATGCTTCGTATCCTTTGTTTCAAAAGTTCTGTAAACACACCCAGAAAATCTAATTTATTTGTGATATAAGTCAGCTCCTAATTTGTCCAGCTAATTTTTGGTCTGGAAGACCTGTCTTAAAGTGTGAGTGGAGTACTGATGCCCAAAAGATTATTGTATCAGAACCTATCTGACTTTTTAATGCCATTTGATATTTAGTCTGTAAAATCTGCAACCCTAATATGTGGTTAAAAACAATAATTATTTCTCCAACTCCATACTCTTATTAATTTGTGATGGCACTTTTTGTCTCTTCTGGCTGACTTGAACTCTATATCTCCTTTATCAAACACAAGCATAGCTATGAAGGTTTATTTATGGCCTCTGTTTGGTACTCAGAAAACTGGAGAAAACAGATAGTCATACTTGATTTTTCACTGTCCACAGACAGTATTCAGAGTGATTCTTATAATTAGTTCATATCTGTAGTTATGATAGCTTTTCATTCATTTTAAATATATCATATGATAAGAACAAAACATTATCTTTAAACATTATCTTGACTGTTTTTATTCCCTGTTAATGTTGAAGAAAAGTAGTTATTTGTTTTATCGATATTACATGAACTTACAGATGTACTTTAGGGAAGCTTACAATCTTACTACTTGTCAGATTTGCATGCAGTAATTTTAGTTTGTTTTCTGCTACTCATTTATTGTCATATATTGCAGTAATCCCTGATCATTTGTTCTTTCTAATTTATAGGGAAATTCAGTCATCAACCAAATGAACATTTAATTAGCTGTTTTGTTAAGTTAGAATTCTGTCAGAGTTAATATTAATTAACAACATATTTCTGATTACCAAGGTGATATTTACTAATTAAAGCAAATTTGTATTAACAGGGAAAACAGTAAGAAAGAAAATACCTATTGTAAGTATTTTCTTATTCTCATTATAGATTTATATTATGGGCATTTCTATTTACGATAAAATTAGCAATGTATTGTATATGGGTATACATTTTCACTTTTAATTCCAAAAATTTAAACTGACCAATATATCATCATAAACATATAAAATTAGTATTTTATTCATTTTCTTTTATATTGGCTGGCTGTCTTTAATCCTGCCTTATTATAAATATCATTCTTCTCAGAATCTGGTATAATTAACCTCACTATCTCTGCAGAAATCCTTGGGACAGAAGTCAGGAAAGTCTGGTTTGCTGTCTGCTTTTGTGGCTACTACTTTATGAGATCATCACAATAGTCAATTTTTATGTTTTACCTAAGGCAGTTTATATGCTACAATAGCAGAGTTGGAGTGCTGAGAAAGGATCTAAGAGGCATGCAGGCCCAGCATCTCACAGAGTGAGTGAGATGCTGACTTCTACCTTAGAGTGAAACCCAGGACTTGAACTTTCTTGGTAATGCTGTATGCATGATTCTGTAAATACTAACACAGTATAGGTTTTCTAGTGACGTTCTGACATTTATGAAACTTTGTCTGAGTATATTGTAGGAGTACATGTCTCAAGCACAATTACCAAGATCAAATACAAAATTTAAGATTTGTGCTGAGCATTTTTACTCTGTTTCCCCAAAAGGATTTAAAAACAATGAAAATACGATTTATTCACACACTGAAAAAGAACTAATATTCATTTTCTTTGAGCGATCTCTCAGTGTTCTTAAGTCACAACTCTGCCATTGGCATGTTTCTCACAGGTGTGTTCTCCTTAAGAATTCTATAGAGTCAGGTGATGGAGGCAGAACAGGACAGTAGCCAAGGTGACGAAGATTAATGAGAAAGGTAAGACAGGTTTGGCGCCACCCCTCCCCTGAATCCAAAGGCAGGTCCACTGATATATCCCCATAAACACCAGGAATCTTTCTCCTTTACTGCCTGCAGGGATATATTCAATCCTCACTCATCCTGTGCCTTTACCTTCAGTAGTGTGTACATCATCAACTCTACAAAATGATAAAGATTTATTTATTATTTTATGTCTTTCATAGCTGTGTCAATGACTCCCAAATGTACATAGTAATACAAATTCTATTTTATTTACTGACAAACAAAACAACTAAATGATAGGAAGTCATATTTTTCCTTCTTTAGAAGAGCAACTAGTACATTCTAGCAACAAAATTGTTGAGAAAATGTTCATGTAATATTATTACCACTAATAACAAAACATGCATGCTTTCTATATTTTTCTCTTTATATGTCCTTTAGGTGTATAGATCCTTTACAGGCCATGGGCTATTATTGGTATCTTCATTTTACACATTACAGAAGGTGAATGCTTACACTGAGTTTGTGGTTTTGTCATGAAATGAAATAAATCTTTACTCCAACTTACCCACTTCAGCCATCATGTTTTTTCATGAAAGTACTTCTTAGAATCTCAAGGCTTTTTCTGTGGAGAGATGATGCATTTCTCTGAATCTGAAGGGTGATGGAAAAGTGGAATTAAGGTTTATTGAAGATCAGATACTTCCAGGAACTTTTCCCTTTACTGTAACCCATGTCTTACCTGGAATACAGAAGAGGAAAACATTATTCATTGTACTTGTGTTTCCTTTGCTAAAGTCACAGTGCTATTCATCAATGGAGCTGTGCCCTGATTGGGGCAGTTTTGCATACCTCAGCCTTTAGATTTACTTCTGTGTTTCAAAGATCTGAATTGGGTGTCTTCTGGCATCTAAGCCAGAACCCTTTAGAAGGGTGTTCTCTATTTCTTAGGGCCCATTATACATCAGCATATGGAATGAAACCATTAGGAAATATTGTAAGTTCAATTTCACTAATTTGAACTTTGTAAGTTTATAAAAGTTTTTCCATTGTTGTCTTTGCATTGGGATTTATGAGACACCACACATTTATTATCCTTTCTCCTGAAAGAAAATCAATCATAAGTAGTCTTTCACAATAGGGATAATTCTGGAAAAACAGAAACAGCTCTTTGAGTCTGGCTGCTACAGTTCCTCAAGAAAACTACAAGGCTTAGCCTCAGTACTATGCTCTTCATGGCTGAGGCTGAGACAGACAGCTTCAATCTCATCCACAATGAACTGATGAAGTTTCATGAAAATATACTTACACTACTTTTCAAATACCCTCAAATGAATAAATTACTATTTGTAGCAAAATATATTGTAAATAATTAAAATAGATGAAGCCAGATATTTTCATATCTCATAATTTAAACTCTTTCCCTTCAAAAACCTGTCTGTAAGAATTTAAGCATTACCACATATGACATTTAAGTGGAAACAATATTCTCTTCATTTATGGAACAGTTCTCTTTTTCCAAACTTTAGTAATTCATCTAGGTAAGGGGGAAGAGAGATATTAACTTGTTTTTAGTTCAACAAAATCAATCTGTCTTTCCTGCTTTGCATGTGAGCCAACTGTCACTAACTCTGGCATTGGCAGTGCCAAAGGCAGATCCTCACCATGGCAATCCTTTTCTGTGTCCATGTGGCAATGCTGTTCAACTCTACATGTTTGTGGGATGATTTCAGCATGTCATGAGGTTCTCTGAGAGATGACCTTATAGGGAGCTGAAAGAGAAAAGGGTGGACAGCCATTTTGAATTGTACACTCACAGGCACTCAAGCATTTCTTCAGCAGCTACAGGGAAGGGATTTTGCACAATCATTTGAAGTCTCTAATCAAATGACTTTATGTTGCACACAAAGATTGTACTGACCTATCATGGTAACCAGTCAGAAGGTATTTTGGAAGACTACATGCCAACACTGTGATCTAAGACTCTTGATAATTGTTAAGCCAGAAGTTCCTCTTCCTCCTTTAGATTTGTAGGATTTAACCACCACCCCTCAATTCTCAGTCTAAGATTCTCATTCTCTTTTTCCTGCTTGCCAACCCCAAACTTCAGAACAGTTAAGGAATCTCTGTGGCTCTGTAAGCCTATCCCTTGGAAGTAAATTCAAATGCAGGAAGAAAAGTCTTTCATTTATTTTACTGACATTGTTTCATTGTTAAAGAAGCAATGAGAGAAAACACATTGTCAAAATTGTCTTCATCTTTTCAGTAGTATTTGGTGTCTGTATGAGGAAAATGGGCCAAAGTCAACATTCACTCTAATAGCAGCAGGTGCCTGGTAATTTTCCAAAACCATTCAAGTTCAGTATCCATAATGAAACAATCCCTGGATTTCTAGAAACTAGTACTGAGTTCAAATACAACAACCTGGTTTTGATGGCTAATGATGATATTGCTAATAAGCAGAAATTTAAAAAATATTGATTTATATTGTCTATGGGATGATGTTACTATAAGTTCATAGAGGGAAATAAGTACAGAAAACATGGCTTTATACTTTAACTAAACAAAATTATATTATCATTTCTGTATTTATAAGTCAGAAAACTTTTTATTCTTATACACTTAGCTGCTTCCTTTCTTTTAAATGTTACCTACAAAGAAACAAATAGGACTATAAAATCATTTTCCTAAAGAACTGGATAATTCAATGAATAAATAAAGTTGAATTTATGTGATAGAAGTAATTTTCTGAAAGTACCGATAGATGCTGTATTCATTCAGATGACAACAAAATCTAAGTGTCCCTAGTGTTTACTAGGAAGTTTACATTTGTTGACACTAAGTGCAACAGAAAAGTTGATATATGCTGGAGCAAATGCCCTATTTATGCCATTTTATCCTATGATAATAATTTCTGATTATCATGATGTCGTATGGATCATTTTTAGTATCCAAAATTTACCTGGGACCATGGCATAGTACCCATGACATGTAGTGGTCAGAATTTATAAAGTTTTCTATGTAGTAAAAGCTAAAACTTACTTCAAAAACACAATTTCAGGACAGAGAGCTCTTCATTGATGACAGTCCTTGTGTCTTCCAGCATTTTATCTCAAATGAATCACCCCAGGGTAGTACATACTTGACATGATCATTCTCATTCCCAGAACTCTACAGCTTGGGGTTTAGTCATCTGGGTCTTAGTCACTATACAGTCAATGCGAATCTGTCTCTAATGTTTCTGATTTTTACTGTTGCACTAGAGCAGATTTTGGCAAACTATGGCTCATGGGTTAAATTCACGTCACTTCCATAATTTATGAATAAAGTTTCATTGGAAAGCAGCCATTTGCATCATATATTTTATCTGGCTACATTTGCACTGGAGGCTTTAGTGTTTAGTCATTTTGAGGGAATTCTTCTGACCTGTGTGGTTGGCACAATCCTTAAAGCTCCCATGGGATTCTCTGATTTTCTGTTCTAATTCCCCAGATTGAACATTGACCCTCTCTGGCTCACACTGCTGTCCAGCTTCAACTGACCATTCCTGTAGCTTTCCCCTAACACAGTGCTTTTTTTTTTTACAGAAATCAGACAAAACATTCTCCTAATCAACTTCCTGAGTGAAATTAATCACGTCTACGGCTCACTAGTATAATCACATATCTTTGGGAGTTTAGCTATTTCATTAGCAAATATCCCATGAGTTCCTGACTGTCATAGGCCATCAACTGTACGTGGGTGAATGTTGCTTTGCTCTTCTGGGTCATTTTCTTCTGTTTTGTTTTGTTTTTACAATGTCCTATGTCTATGAATTGTTTTACTGACTAAGGAAGGAAGGGCTACGTGTCAGGGTGTCATTTTTCTATTTTCCTAACAAATTCTATTGTTAAGCTATGATTATTAACCTGTGTGCTGTGATGTCATGGAACATATACATGGTAAGGTTCTGCTGCTGAAATACATGAACATGCCCATTCTTTCCATGTACCACTTTCCTGGGGAAATGTACTTCAGAATAAAACACTAACATCTTTATTCTGTAAATTAGATATTTTACTTCTTTCTACATATTGTATAATTAGTATCCTGAGCCCATCACCCTCCTACCAAGCCATAGTGAGAAATAAACCACACAAGAAAAAAAACATGCAGCACACATGGAATTAAACTAAAATTTCAAATTAGAGATAAAAACAATGTCATGGTTTTATTACATTTTTATGTCTCTGTCTCTCTGCAGCCAGAAAAGCAGCTACAGCTAATGCATTAGGTAAATATATCATTTTGATACTTTAGAAATATTAATGTAGGTGTTGCAATATAGATTTCATCAATTTCTGATGTTTTTTCCTTGCAGGTTGAACACATTTTATACATAAAAAATAAAACCACTCACTTACATGTTGCCTAATCATCTCCGGGATATCTCTCTGATGCTCTCAACTGCAATTGAATATTTCATATGTGAATTAATTTCTTTAAATGGAATAAGGTATTCTAAGTTTATCAAAGACTCAAATTAAATGCCTGTCACAAGTGGTAGAAGTGGGATAGTCCAAAATATCTCAGGACCTGAAATTTGTCTTCATAACTCTGAACCAGTTGTCAGACATGAACTCTAATTCTTGTTTGAATGAATGAAGTTCTTGGGATCCTACAATGGCTTCAAAACTAATAATTTATGGAAGATGACAGGATTAGTTTAGTGATTTTTAACAATGGTAAAAATATCATTTATTGTTTTGAAGTTTTTCAAGTATAATATTAAACAATTTTAAATACCTGAAATATGACAAACATGCCATGTAATCTGATGCTTACATTCATTTAACTTGTATAGAAGATAGAGCATTGGATTAAACTCAACCACATATAACAACCAAAAGTATTTAGACACATTTCACCATCTTTAGCTTCAACAGAAGCTTATACATGAATCTTTTTCTTCCTTCTTTCCTTGTTTCATTCTTTCTTTCTTTCTTTCTTTCTTTCTTCATTCCTTTTCTTGGTTCTCTCTCTTTCTTACTCTTTCTTTCCTTTCTTTCTTTCATTTTCTGTCCTATGTGTCTGTTTTCCTCCTTCCTTCTTTTCTTCCTTACTCCCTTCCTCTCTCCCTCCCTCCATCGCTCCCTCCATCCCTTCCTTTCTTCCTTCGTTCGTTCCTTCCTTCCTTCCTTCCTTCCTTCCTGGCTTTCTTTCTTTCTTGTTTTGTTATATTTTTCAGCATCTATGCTTGCCAAGAAAGATTTAGAGTAACAGTAGAAATGGGTGATTTGAATAAAATCTACCTTACTATACTAACAAAAAATTTGGTTTCCACAAACATTTTATTTAGTTACCTTCTTAATTGATTTCAACTAAAGTTTGATATAAAAGAATTTAAAGATATTTACTTTGCCAAAATGAAGAAAAGTTGATAAATATAAATGATTTACCTTTAACATTATTTCCACAATCTACTGCCGCCAAAAGAATTCAATTCTCATACCTGTCATAAAATATTCCTTAGATAACAGTAAGTTTACCTTAGAAGTACCATTTTAATCAACACTCTGAATTTCCACATGCTTGCTGTCATTGCTGACAAAAATTTAAACATCTTAATAAGCAATTGTGTATTTTAGTAAAGATTTAAAACAATGTATTATATGAGTGGGATAAATTCTTAATAAAGTTTGAATACATTTTTTCTCTTGTATAGAAGCATGTTCTTCACTTTTAGGAAATGGCCACAGCCATTTGTATATTACCATATAACACTGTTAATGTTGTCTTCTTTACAGTGGTTCAAAAGTATTAATTTGTGAAGGTACATAAGAAGATCTCAGTGCTGAAAAGTGAAGTTTATACTCACATCTAAGGATGCTGACGTTAGGAACTACAGTTGGGAAAGAGTATATATCTCCTGTCATTTTGTGTCTGGGTTACTTCTGCCAGTATAAAGTTTTCAGGGTTTATATGCTCATCTTCAGATTTCATGATTTCAAGTTTCACAGCTGGGTAATATTCATTCTGTATGTGTATCACATTTACATTTTCCATTCACCTATTGAAGGCATTTACTTTGCTTCCTACCCTTGGCTGTTGTGACAAGAGCAGCAAAGAACACAGCTGAGCAATTATCTGTGGAGTAAAATGGTGAATCTTTTTGCCACATGCCAAGAAGTGGTACAGCTAAGTCATATACTAGATTTATTTTCAAGTTTTTTTGAGGATTCTCCATACCAGTTTCCAGAGTGGCTGCATAAATTTGCATTCCCCACAACCGTGAATGGATTTTCCTCTTTCTCCACAACCACACCCACGTTTATTGTCAGCTGTTTTGTCCTTCTTTGCTATTCTGTCTGGAGTAAGATGCAATATCAGAATCATTTTATTTGAATGTGTGTTTTTATACTTGCTAAGGATATGAAAGGAATAGATTTTATGTATTTCTATGTCATTTTAAATTATTTCATTGAATACTCTCTATTGAGATACTTGTCATATTTCATTTTTGGGTCGTTTCCTCAGCTATTTGTATATTCTAGATGTTAATTCTCTGTCAGAAGTATTTGTGGCAAAGGTTTTTCCCCAATCCTGTGGGTTTCCAAGATATGCATATATAACTGTAGACACCAGGAAAATATAAAGTGATAATAGGTGTGTGTGTAGGGTATAATCTTCTGGCATAAATAGCATTGCAAATATGATATGAAGTTGCAAACCCTAGATAATAAGGGGCTCTATTCAAGGAGGCAAGATTAAGTTCAAATGTCAGGACAAGGATGAGAAGGAAAAAATATCCCCACTCTTGTTTGACAAAGTCTGAAGAGTTTATATTCATCTAAAATTATATAAAACACACTATTTTATACGGAATACACACAAACACAGAGAGACAGGCACACACACAAACTCACACACACACACACACACACACACACACACACACACACACACCCGACTTGAGTTGACAAGACTCCTCTGGAGAACAGTAAATTAGCAAAATATCCAGCATCAAGCACAAGAAACCTTTTAAATAGTTGGTCAGGGTCATTCAAGTGAGTACCCAATTAAGTGAGTCCTTGGCTGCTGCTCAAGCATTACAGTTGAACCCTGTTGCTGAAGATTTCAAATATTTGGGACAAAGGAGTCAAATGGTTCAAGCTGTATTGACCAGACAGTCAGTCTCATTTCAGCAGTCTAACTTCTGAATGGCTCCAGAAAATACTAATCAAGGAGCCAAAGGAGGGAAGCAAGTAAACAGTCCTATCCAGTTGTAATTCCTATGAACAGCAATATTTTGCAGCATGGCAAAATGTACCCAAGCTATCTAACTAGACTGGATTCCAGTACAACATACCTGGTACTAAAATCCTAATCATCTTCTCTGGACTAGTGAGGTCATGGACTCTGGAAAGCAATCTCTAGACCTTACTGTATTCTAAATCTTATCTTTATCTCATATATAATTACAGACACCAATGCCCCCATCTGCAAAGAAGCCCCTCTTTACAGTAAATGAAAAATGCCTTGTGGACATTGTAAAGAAATCAATGGATTGTGAGTTTCGCATCCATTGGATATATCTACATCAAAGCTCCTGCACATATACCTAAATTAACATCAACAGGATATAGAAAGATTGTGGGAGCAAGAATATCAGTGAGCCTGCTGTTTAATGGTCTCTCCTAGATAGGGCTGCATAAAAGTATTGGAACATTAGCATTATTAATGGATCTATTAATGCTTAACTGGGGAAGTTTCATGGAGTCCTCCCCGTGACTGTTGGGGAAGGAGAATTAGCCATTCCTAAGATTGAACTTATTGTTGGTTGCCCAGTGCACACTGGCCTGCCTTGAAACAAAGACAGATTAAGCAGGTTGTATTTACATATACATATATATGTACATATTTATGCATAAACATGCATATATACATATATGTATACAATAATAATAAAAAAGAGGTTACTTGAAAGGGGCCAGAGAGGGGATAAGGATGGAGGAAGGAAAAGGAGGTAAAAATGATATAATATTATTTCAATTTTGAAAAGTTAAAGATAAAAAACAAATAAATTAATAAATGTATAATTTTCAAGACAATGTTCAAAAAGTTACATTTATGCATAAGGAGCTACAATCATATGGCATAAATTTTATATGCTGAATTCAGAATAAACATTTTATGTTGTACAAGGAATATGTACAGTAAATATTTCATGGCAACCCATAAACTCAATTGTTATTTGTATTTTCATAATATAATAGACTTGTATCAAAAGAGCATTTATACAAATATATGTTTTTCCTTTTGTTTAAAATACAAGCATCTCTTTTTCTCAGTAAATCAATTTTTCAGTATAACCAAGCATACCTGATGTGTGCCCTAAATACCCTGTCATAAAATCAGCATTTAAACTCTTACTTAATGCAGGAAATTTGATTTACTAGAATATGTACCTTGCTTACCATAGGAAAATGTTTACAGGGGTTTTTGTAGAGTTAAAATTGCATCTTATTTTTTTGTACTTAAGCGTAAGAGAAATTCAAAGAATAAAGACAAATAGTTGTCTAATACAGAGGCTCCTCATTTGTAGTCATGGGACACATTGATAAATGAAAGATGTCATGAATTAGCTCTACTCACATGTGAATGTTAGTGCTTTGTTTTTCTCGTGCTTCCTATGATAAATTGTAATAATACTAGGAAAGATTAGCTAGCTTCTTAGTTAATCAGCCCAAATGCTTAACCAGTCATAGCTCTATGGATGAGAGAAGTCTATTACTAGAACACTATGGATCAACATTAAGCATAACAAAATTATCTTCAAATGCTGCCATCTTTTTTCTTTGTAGTAATTCTTCTATTTGTGATGGGTGATTCATCCAACTTAACTGAGCTACATGTTTAAAGCTTAAACTAGGGGTTTAAAGAAAAATTTGAAAATATAAAGTTGAGGGATTAACCAAGGCTGTTAATATTTCATGTTTTGTCTTCGAGAGTATTTGTTTAGTTTTCCTTTTACTGTCGCAGTTCTTCTTCTGTTACTATAGTTTATTTTTTTTAGTCACTACTTCTTTCTCCTAGCTAAGTGAGCTTCTTGCTCTGTGCCTTCACTATAGGACCCCGTGTTCCCTTTGTCATTATTCTCCTGCAGATCCATTTCCACGGTTTCAGCATTTGATGGTTTTCTCTTATATCGGAGTTGTACAGCTCAAGTCATGGCTTCAAAATCTGAATTAATGACACCAAGTTCACCAAAATACTATTTTGCCATGATAAAGTAG